CGCGAGCACATCCGTCTCGCGCCCTAGGTGCCGCCTCCTTCCTGCCGGGCTCCGCTAGCTGTTCTTAAAGGGGCGGAAGGCTGCGGGTGTCGCCGGCTGTGCACGGTGGGAGCGCTCCGGCCCGGCCTCTGTAGGAGGGTGACCGCATGGCCTGGCGCGACTCCGAACTGGGTCGGCTTCATCCTGCTCACTTATGAATTAGACACAAGCAATGAACACAGCTCATGAGCGGCCAGTTTGGGAGCTCTCTGGGAAACAGCAATTTAAAAAGTGTTTACTTTTCCCAATTTTACTAATTGTTTTATTTCCCCTCTCCCCCTCGCCTCCCTCTCCCTCTTCTCTGGAACTCACAGAGATCCACCCTCCTCTGCCTGCTGAGTGCTGGGATCAAAGGTCTGTGCTGCCACCACCCTCTTATTTTCTTTTTGAGACGGGAAAGTCTCACTACATATCTAGCCCAGGCTGGCCTTAAGTTTGTGGTGATATCCTGCCTTAGCCTGTCCAGTAGTGGATCCCAGGTGTGCGCTTCCACACCCGGCTCTAAGGCCGCTAGAGCTGCTGAAAACTGGGAAAATGTGCCGTCCTGTAGAAACGAGCACCTTTCACATTTGGTATCCACCACTCTGGAGCGTGTCTTTCAGACACCTAAGGATGGGGTGCAGACCTTCAGGGTTAGTGCACATCCATACAAATAGAGCAACGAAAATCAGGATTCTTTCTAAACAGCAAACAGAAGAATCGAGCTGCTTGGAGCTGAAGAGAAAGTGACAGTTCCCAAGGATCTCACCTCTTCTGACTTCCACAGGCACCAGACACATATATGGTACATATATGCAGGCAAAACAAATACATACAATAATAGTGTTTTTATTCAACAATGAAAACAAAAACAAAATCAGGTTGCTGGAGAAAGCTGTCTTCAGGTATCCCCCGCCTCACGGGACATCTTGTGGTACTTGAACTTGGGAAGTATCCAGAAACTAGATACAGTGTTGCAAGCCTTCACTTCCAGCACCTGGGAGGCTGGGGCTGGAGGATGGCCATGAGCTCAAGGCCAGCTCTCTATCCATAGTGTAAGAGATAATTTGTTCTGGTGCATTTTCAGTGTCAAGTATGCTTAGAATCCATCCCAGAGTCAAATTGAGCATGAAGGGCTAGGCCCCTCTTGCCCCAAGCTGGCAGCTTCTGTTTGGAAAGTTGCAGGTACTATGCTGTATGACCCATGCCCGCCATCAGAGAAGGGACAGTCAGGCTCAAGCCCCAGCACATTCATTTGATGAAATTTTGAGTCCCCTGAAGAGAATGGGGAATTTAAAGGAGCGGTGCTAAAAGTATACAAAGACTGTAACTCTGTGGGAAAAAGCCAGAGGTTTCTCATGATCAGGGCTTTCAAAACTACTACTTTAGCCGGGCGGTGGTGGCACACATCTTTAATCCCAGCACTGGCGGCGGGGAGGGCAGACAGATCTGTGAATTCGAGGCCAGCCTGGTCTACAGAGCGAGTTCCAGGGCAGCCAGGGCTACACAGAGAAACCCTGTCTCTAAAAACAACAAAACAAAAACTGCTTCTCTTTCACTAGCTAGTCTCTTTATTAGCGTGGAGGTTGTTTCTCACAACAGTGAGCACCAGGGCAGCCTGGGCTAGAGCTATCTCAAAAACCTGAAGGTCACACATAGTGGCCATACACCTGTCATATCAGGAAGTAGAGGCAGGGAGACCAGGAGCTTAAGGGTAACCTCGGCCACATGAAAAGCTGGAAGCCAGCCTGGACTGCGTGGTGCTGGGAGCTGGCTCAGTGGTGAAGAGCGCTTCTTGTTCTTGCAGAGAACACGGTTTGGGTCCTAGCACCCACACGGAGACGCACAACCACTCAGTTCCAGGGAAGCCGACCCCCTCTTCTGGACGTCATAGGCACCAGTCATTCACATGCTGCTCATACGCATCTGCGGGCAGAACACTTAAAACATTAAATAAATCTAAAATATTAAAAACAAAACTAGTGGTGAGGGTGGCCCTGGGGCTAAAGGGGACAGTGGGGGCTCAGAACACATTATATACACGTGCAAAATTTTAAAAGGATCAGTAAAAATATTACATTTAACGGCCTGCTTCCAGGTTGCTTAGGAAGCTGGGTTTGGCGCACTGCGCGTGCGCACCGGCCGCCCTGTGATTGGTCACTCTTGACGTTCTTGTAAGAGCCTCTTACGTATTGGTCCAACCCCTTCCTGCTTCCGAGGTCACGCACGCTCGTCGGCGCCTTGACGGGGGTCGCGCGCGGGCGTTGCGTGATGACGTAGGTGGCGCGGGCGCCATCCCGGAAGCGCGAGACCGGCCTCCAGATGTGCAGGTGCCGAGGCCGGCGACGCCGGGGCTGGGCCGGGGCGGGGTGGCGGGGCGGCGGGAGGCGGCGGGAGGCCTCGGGAAGGAGGCCCAGCCTGGCTCCGCGGCCGAGCCGGCCTCAGTTTCCCGGGCGGCGCAGCGCGGGCGGACCGGGATGGGAACCCGAGTGGTGTGAGCGGCTCGGAGTGCGCCCGTGCCTCAGTTTCCCCCGAGGGGGCGGGGCCTCAGTGCACGTTGAGCCCCGCCTTATCCGGTGTGGCTTCCCTTGTTTTTGTTTTTTCCCCCCCGGAGTTCGGGCGTCGAGTCGGCCGGGACTCGGGCGCGACGCTGCCTTGTCCCCTGGTTGCGCCCTCGAGGCGCAGAGCCCTTCCGCCGAGCCCTGCGTTTCGGGGAGGTTCGGTGTTTCTTGAGCCCAAATCAGCCTCCCATTCCTGGCCATCCTCCTGCTTCAGCCACCCCAGTACTGGGGGAAGTCGGTAGACTTAGCTTTGAGACCGTGCCAGGCTGGCCCTCAGCTCCCGGGAGCGCTTGCATTCACAAGCCTGGAGTCGCCGCGCCTGGCCTGTATTGTCGCGCTGAGTCAGGGTCTCATTTGTCCCAGGCTGGCCTGGAGCTCAGAAAGCAAGGGGTGACCTTGAACTTTGCTCCTCTGCCTGCCTTAGCGCTGAACACGGGCATTCGCAACGCGTGTTTTATTTTTTGAGACAGCCCTATGTATCCCAAGCTGGTCTGGAACTCACTGTGTAGCCCAGATTAACCTTGAATTTACAGCGGTCCTGTAGCCGCCTGAGTCGGGGACGACAGCCCGAACTGTCGCGCCAGGCCTGTGTTTTGAGACAGGCTTTCATGCATCTTAGGGTGGCCTAGATTCAGTAGGTGTAGCCCAAGCTGGCAGTGTGCGTGCTGCCATTTCAGCCCCAGTCCAAAACTAATAGTGTGATCTAGAACAAAATCTCGTCAAAACTCTGCATCTGAGGGATGCCATTGACCCGTTTGACTCCACACTTTAACCACAAGTCTTTTTTCCTTAAAGAATATTTACATTAGCCGGGCGGTGGTGGCCCACGCCTTTAATCCCAGCACTCGGGAGGCAGAGCCAGGCGAATCTCTGTGAGTTCGAGGCCAGCCTGGGCTACCAAGTGAGTTCCATGAAACGTGCAAAGCTACACAGAGAAACCCTGTCTCGAAAAAAAAAAACCAAAAAAAAAAAAAAAAAAATTTACATTCAAGAAATGTTCACATTCTGTTTACTTGGGGGACGGGGCATGCACCTTCATGTGTTGGGGTCAGGGGACAACCTGCAGGAGTTGGTTTTCTTTCTACCCTGTGTCCCAAGGCTTGAACTGGAGTCCTCTGGCTTGGCGGCAGTCACCTTTTAGACACAGCCATGTCACTGGCCGACTTCCTCCTAAACGGGGTCTTCCTGTGCCTGGGTGCCTGGGAAGATCTATGAAGCCCTGGCTGGTCTTGAACATTGAATCCTGCCTTATTCCTCCCCTTCCCACGTGCTGGGGTCTACCACCATGTGTCTACCTTTTGCTCAAGGTGATGCTTGATGACCTTGGGTGACTGGACTGTGTGATCCTTGGATGGAAGGGACCATGTCCTGCCCATAGCTGGTTTCTTTTTTTTTTTAAACCCCTGAGACAGGATTTCTATATGTAGCCCTGTCTGTCCTGGAACTCTCTGTACGTCAGGCTGCCCTCTGCTACCACGCCTGGCTTAAATCTGTATGGCTTTTGTCTTTTGGTGTGCCTCGCTGCTTGCCTTCTGCTGTGTTTGAGACGGCACCTCCCGTTCACCTTTCTGTGTGCCAGGCTAGCTGGCCTTGAGGCTTCCGGCTACTTCCTTGTCTCTGCCTCCTGTCCCCCGGAAAGGCGCTGGGGTTGCAGGTGGAGGCACCACGACTGTGTCTCACCGTACACGAGCTCTGGCGACCCAAGGCAGGTCATCAAGTTCTCATCCTAGCACTTTACACCCAGCCTCCTCCCCACCATTCATTCTCCCCTGCCTCTGGCCCCAAGTGGTGGAATTAAAGGTGCGTGCCACCGTGCCTGGCTGCCCCCCACCATTTTTGATTTTGTTTGTTTTTTCAAGACAGAGTTTCTCAGTGTAATCTTGATCTTGGCTGCCCTGGAACTCGCTCTGTAGACCAGGCTGGGCTTGAACTCACGTGGATCTGCTTGCCTCTGCCCCCCAAGTGCTGGGCTTAAAGGTGTGCGCCACCACCGCCCAGCTGCCACTTTTTTTTTTTTTTTGCGACAGGGTCTCACACTGTAGCCTGAGCTGACCTGAAACTCACTGTAGTCCAGGCTCCCCTAAATTCACGCCAGTTCTCCTGCCCCAGACTGTGTACTGGAAAAGAAGAAATCACCACACAGAACCAATTTGGTCAGGGCCTCGCTCTGTAGCCCCTCTCGGCCTTGAATTCCTGATCCTCCTGCCTGTGTCACCAAGCCCGGCCGCTCCCGTGTGTGAAACTTGTCCAGTGCGGAGTTGGCCTCTCTCAGCCAGGTCTGTCTTGTCAGGTTCCTGGGTTTCTCCTGAACATCAGAGATGGGGTGGTGCTGTGATTCCCCTGTTTTGAGCTGGTCTGGGGGGGCTCTGCTCACCGGGACACAGCAGGGGCCATCACCTGCCTGCCAGATGCTGAGAACCACAAGCCATGCAGGTGCCAGGCTGGCAGACTGCCTATGCCTAGAATCCTTGGCTTTAAGTTGCTGGAAAAAAAAAAAATGTAGTAGCTTCAGAGCTGAATATTTTGTTTCATTTTTGAGGACAGGTCTCGCAGAGTAGCCCAGGAGCTCACTTTGCTGTTGCCTAGGATGGCCTAGAGCTTGAAGTAATCCTGCCTCAGTCATCTGAGTGCTGGGGTGGCCAGTGCAAGCCGCCAGGCCTGTGTGTGTGGTGTGGTGTTTGCTTACTGGCTTGTTTGAGCCACAGTTTCCCTGGCTGTCCTTGAACTCAGAGATCCACCTGCCTCTCCGCCCCGAGTGCTGGGGTCGAAGGTGTGCTGTTGCTGTGCCCTGCTCAGCCTGGTTTTTATACATATTTATGTGTGCATGAGTACATGTATGTGCTGGCATGCATGTGGAGGTCAGAGGGCAACTTTTGGGAGTTGTTTCCACCATGATGGTCACTGGGTTTAAACTCAAGGCATCGTGCTTACCCCTGAGTCATCTTGCTGGCCCCCAAACCAAGTTTAGAGCTGAATTTGGAAACTTTGGTTTGGAGTATGGGTGTGCATGTCCCACAGTGCACATGCAGAGGTCAGCCTCAGGACTTCGCAGGTCTTTTTCACGTTTGTTGTCCCTCACCATGGAGACCAGCTGGCCCTTGAGGTGCCATCCCAGCACTCAGGAATTGAAGGTTGTCTTCAGCTCTTCAGTAATCAGAAGCCCCCACAGCCACGAGAGAAGCTGCCTCAGAAGCCCAAGAGATGGGTCTTGGTGGCACACAGTCTTGATCCCAGCACTCAGGAAGCAGAGGCAGGCAGATCTCTGTGAGTCTGAGAACAGCCTGGTCTACATAGGGCATTCCAGGACACCCAAGGCTACATAGTGAGACCCTGTCTTCAAGGACGGTGGTGCACTCACTGCAATAATGCAGGTGATAATATACTTAAGGACCCAGGTTCATACCCAGAAACCACACGCAAAGCTGGGGCTGTGGTGGTGAGATGGAATCAGGTATAGACAGATCCCTGGAAGCATGTAAGCTTGCTGCCCTAGCCTCTGTGGTAAAGTTCTGGGCCGGTGAGAGACCCTGTCAAACAATGGGAGACGGGACTGGAGAGGCGGCTCAGAACACTCGCTGCACTGAAGAGGACCTGAGTTCTGACCGGTGTCCGTGGCTGCCTGTAGCTCAGCTCCAGGGCACCCGTCACCTCTGGCCTCTGTGTCGGGGGAGGAGCAGCGTCTGCAGTTTGTCCCGGACCGTCACATGAGTGCTGTGGCACCCATGCATGTCCCACAGAAACCAAATACAAAACCCTACCCTAAAGCCACACAGGAGCAGATCTTGACGGAGGTGGGGTGGCAGCCGTGTGGAGTCTAGCGAGGACACCGAAGGGAGAGATGGCGTTGCCCAACCTGTGCGTGTGACAAGTTCGGGTTCTTAGGCCAGCATGAGCTGTGCACGGCGTAGAGTGACTCACTCGTGCCTGGGTAGCTTCTGACTCTCCATCCTCCTGCCTCAGCTCCCTGCAGTCACAGGTGTGCTGTCATGCTCAGCTCTTCTGGCTCATGTGTTTCTAAGGGTGGATCTGTCAGGCCCCTAAACACCCCGAGTCCCCAGCCTAAGTATTCTGAGGCTGGGGTGGTGCCTATTTTGGGCCATGATTTGCTCTTGACATTCTCGCCAAGCCGAGCACTGACTTCATGTCCTGGTCTGGTCGTTTCAGGCATCAGAGGTGGAGGAGAAAGAGATGGACCCCCCGGACTCGGCCTCGAGGGTCTTCTGTGGCCGCTTCCTCAGCATGGTGAACGCCGATGATGTCAACGCCATCATCCTGGCCCAGAAGAACATGTGAGCAGGCCGTGGGCAGCGTGGGAAGGACCCCCCCCCCCCAAGTTGTGATAAATTAAAGAAAATTAGTTCCTGGCTCCAGAGCCAGTTCCTTCCCGGCCTGAAGACCAGGCTTTGGCACTGGGTCCTGTAGCTTTGCGTGGCTCGGCAGTGGCCAAGGAGCTCCTGTCCCCAGGCAAAGGAGCCCAGTCCGGTGTGCAGGCTGCCTGCCTAGGGTGCTTTTCTCCCTCGCTTGAACAACCTCGCCCTGGTCTCCCCTAGGCTTGGGGAGAAAGGCAGGTACAGGGCTGCGGTGCCACTTGGTGGCTTGCTTTGCCAGTCACGCGGAGGCCTCAGGTCCAGTCTAGCGAGTGGCCCTCCCAGTGGGGGCCAGAGGCTGGTGGCTGCTGTCTTCCCCTGGGGCTCTCCACCTCGTATTATTTGCTTAGTTATTTTTTGAGACAGGGTCTCAATATGTCCTGGATCTTACTTTGTAGACCAGGCTGGCCTTGAACTCACAGAGATCCTCCCGCCTCTGCCTCCCAGTGCTGGGATTAAAGGCGTGCACCATCATGCCGGCCTGCACTGGCCGCTCTGGAGGAGGGCCAAGGCTCTGTCCCAGCAGCTCACAGCTGAGATTCAGGTCCCGGGCCTGAGCGCTCTTCTGGTCTCCACGGCGCTGTGTGCACATCTGCACATGGTGCACAGACATGCCCAAAGGCAAAACACCCATACATATAATAAAAAAATAGTATAGGCCTAGCGTGTGATGCACACCTTTAAACCCTGCACTCTCAGTTCCAGGGCAGCCAAGGCTGCATAGTGAGACTGTCTCAAAAACTAAAGCAAAGAGAAAACCCCAAAACTTAAGAAAAGGGCAGCAAAAAATAATAATAATAATAAACATGTCAGTCTTTTAGCTGGATGTAGTGGCACACACTTGCAATAATAATAAAATAATAATAATAAACATGTCAGTCTTTTAGCTGGATGTATGGCACACGCTTGTACTCCCAGGACTTCCATAGAGGCAGTTTGAGGTCAGCTCAGAACATGGAGTGGTCCGGGCGGTGGTGGCCCACGCCTTTAATCCCAGCACTCAGAGGCAGGCAGCAGATCTTTTGAGGCCAGCCTGAACTATATAGTGAGTTCCAGGATAGCCAGAGCTACAGAGAAACTGTGTTTCAAAACAAAACCAACAACAAAGCAAACAAACACAGGGACGTAGAATGGGCCACTGCCGGGGTGTGGCAGGAGCCTGTCAGAAGCAACTCCTGCACACACAAACTCCATGCCAGATTCAGGCTGCAACAGAAGTGAGTAGGAGTTGGTGACCAGTTCAGCAGACGGAAACCCTCAGGCCGCATCTCTGTAACGGGCAGAGGCTGTGACCCTCCTCCCAGGGCTCTGCTCGGGCTAAGGCTCCAGGCCTCATGCAGGGCCCTCACCCTCTCCCCACCTAGGCTGGACCGCTTTGAGAAAACCAACGAGATGCTTCTGAACTTCAACAACCTGTCCAGCGTGCGGCTGCAGCAGATGAGCGAGCGCTTCATGCACCACACTCGCACCCTGGTGGACATGAAGAGGGACCTGGACAGCATCTTCCGCAGGATCAGGTGGCCCCAGCTCCCCTGTGGCCCCCAGCCAGCTGCCCCAGTCTCTTCTCCTCCGTCCTGAGACAATGCCCTGTCTTACAGTGCATCTTCTCCAAACCCCTCCCCTGGTCTGTGCCTCCACCCCCCCACCCCCCCCACCCCCGTTCTTGAGATGCCTGTCCCAGGGACCATCAGTCCCTTCTGAAGCCACACCCTCGCCCTTGAGGCCCACTGGACCCACACGCCCCCCAGGCCCTCTAACGCCCCTCCTTCTGCGGACCCCCTTCCTTCAGGGTTCTCGCTTCTCCGAAGCCCATGTCTGGGTCCCTCTTTTCCAAGGCCCCTTCCCTTCCCTCTCCTCCCCCTGCCCTGCCCTTCTGAGTCCCCTCCTCTTCCCTTTCTCCCCTCCAGGAACCTGCCCTCTGCCCTCTCCAGCCCTGGCTATTCCCGGTGTTGGACGGGGCGGTCTGACCTCTGAGGGAGTGAACTGGAAGCAGTGGATCTCCCTTTTATTTGGCATCTGCCCTACACAGCGGGACCTGACAGTGGAGGCAGGAGGGTGACAGTCGGGTGCTTAGGCCAGGTCCTCCGGTTCTGAAGGCGGGCTGAGCGGCCAGCAGAGCACGAGGCCCTGGGTCTGTCCTGGAGAGAGGCCAGTCAGGGTCAGTTTGCTTCTTCCCACAATGGCGCAGGCTCCCGGATCATGACGCCCATGTCCGTGACTCTCAGGTCTCCAGGCGTAGTCTCACCCATCACTGCTGTGGTGCCAGACCCAGGACAGCTAGAGCCACAAGGATCTAGACCACAGATGCACCTTCCCATCAGCTCAAGCCTGGGGAGCCTCGTTGGAGCCAAGGGGACAAAATAAGTTCTCCCTCGAAGTCTAGATCTAGGTGTTCTAGATCAGTGTTTTCAAATTCTGAAACTCCCTCTGTAGACCAGGCTAGCTTTTTTTTTTTTTTACATTTATTAATGTATACAGTGTTCTGCTTACACACAAGATCTAATTACAGATGGTTGTGAGCCACCATGTGGTTGCTGGGAATTGAACTCATGACCTCTGGAAGAGCAGCCAGTGTTCTTAACCTCTGAGCTATCTCTCCAGCCCCCCAGGCTAGCTTTGAACTCAGAGATCCACCTGCCTCTGCCTCCCAAGTGTTGGGATTAAAGGCGTGGGCCACCATGCCTGGCTTTAATTCTTTTTATTAGTATTCTTTATTATTATTTTTTGCTTTTGAGGTAGTGTCTTACGAGATAGCTCTGGCTGTCCTGGCGTTCACTCTGTAGACCAGGTTGTCTTAGAACTCACAGAGATCCACCTGCCTCTGCCAACCAGGTGCTGGGATTAAAGGTGTGCGCCACCATGCCTGGCCTCTTTTTATTATTTTATTATAGTCTTGATTTGTTTGAGACAGGGCCTCTTGTAGCTCAGGCTGACTTCAGATTTGCCACATAGACAAGGATGACCCTGGACTCCTTATCCTCCAGCCTCCCCACCTCCCTAGTGCTGAGATGCCCTGCCACTCTCGGTCCTAAGCTCTCCTCTGAGCACACATCTGGCTCATAATGCCAGGCTGACTCTGCAGGTAGTGTGGGGAGTAGGCCAGAACCCTGTGAGCCCCAGGAGTTGCTGGTCAGCAGCATGTGTTGTAGCCCCGCAGAAAGGAGACAGCGCGTCATGGGCTGTGACTCGGCTGTGTGCTTGTGGCTGCGGTCAGGGTGGAGGCTGTGTAAAGTGCAGGGCGTCAGGGCAGGACAACCAGCAGCCAGGTAATAAAGCCAGCTGGGGGGACAGCACACAGGAGGGGGAGACAGGAGGGTCCTGGGGCTACATGGTGAGTTCAGGGCCAGCCTAAGCTACAGCCAGACTTTGTCTTAAAAAACAAAAAGGGAGAGGAATTAGTGGGTAAAGTACTTGCTGAGCAATTGTGAGGACCTGAGTTCAAATCCTCAGAACACATGAAAAAGTCGGGCGCAGAGGCTGGGGGCTGGCACAGTGGTGAAGAGTGTGCGTTTGTGTGCGTTGTTCTTGCAGAGGGCTGGGGTTGGTTCTCTTGCCGTGTCAGGTGGCTCCAGAGAACTGGACTCAGCCTTGGGGATCTGCTCGTGTGCATACCCTACACACACGCACACACACACACACACGCACGCACACGCACGCACACACGTGCACACACGTGCACAGAAACACACACACGAACACATGCACGCACACACACACCCCTCTACACACACACACACACACCTACACACGCACGCGTGCACACACACGTGCACACACACCTACACACACGCACACCTACACGAGTTAAAGATAAAATGAGTTGTGGAGAAATGTCTGCACAGTGGCTGACGTCTGTCACCCTTGTGCTGGGGAGGCAGAGGCAGGCGAGGGCTGGGGCTTGCTGGCCGGGCAGCCCAGCTGATACCCAGCTCCTTGTCCACGGAGGCCCTGTCTGAACAGACAGGGTGGACTGAGGAAGGCCCAGTGTAGAGCTCTGACCCCAACACCTGGGAGCCAGAGGAGAACGAATGAGGTACAGAAAGCAGCAAGGTGGTGGCCACCTCCTGTCGTGATCCCAGCCCCCCCCCATGGTGCTAAAACCAAGCCTAGAGGCAGGCATGGTGGGCACGGCACAGCAGGAGACAAGTTCCCAGGCTGTGAGAGGCAGGCAGTGCCCAGAGTCCAGCCGGTCCCGCTGTGGCTCATCCCTCTCTGTCCCCTCCCCACAGGACACTGAAGGGAAAGCTGGCCCGGCAGCACCCGGAGGCCTTCAGTCGTAAGTGTGCCCCCCCCTCCGCCCTCACACACAGACACACACACACACACACACCCGCTGCTCCCGTGGGTGGTGGGTGGAGGTACCTCGGCAGTGGGAGGTACATGGTGACAGCTCTCTCGTCTTCAGCCCAGGGCCCTGTAACCGGGCTCTCACCCCAGGCACCTGTGAGGTGGGGACCGAACATCCCATTTCACAAAGGGGGAGACAGACTCGCACCGGAGGGACGCGATACTGTCTGGGGTGTGAGTGAGCTGGGGCCAGAAGGGCTAGAAGAACCAAGTTCTCAGGTCTGTGGCTGTCACATCACTGGGACCCCAGCAATTCAAAGGGTTTCTGAGGTCACCTCATCTGCTGAGTGGGCCTGTGTCCACCCCAGTGATAGGTGGATTCCTGGGGTTTCTTCTGTTTGCTTTGTGTTTTTGAGACATGGTCTCATGTAGCCCAAGCTGGCCTCAGATTCTTCATGTAGCTAGAGATGACCCTGACCTCCTGACCCTCCTGCCTCCACCATAGAGCGCTAAGATGAAGCAGGGCAGGTGTGGTACCTGGCCCGGGGATGCCTTGCTGCTGCAGATGGGGCCAAACCCAGCCTAACTTGGCCATTTGTTGTTTTTGTCTCAATTTTTAAGTTTTCAGGTAGGCTTTCACTGTGTAGTCCTGGCTGGCCTCAAATTCTTTGTATTCCTCCTGCCTCAGTCTCCCATACTGAATGACAAATGGGCATGCTCATTCTGAGTCAGCCTCACTCACCTGCCCAGGCCTCAGTTTCCTCCTCTGTAAAATGGGCTGAGTCATGCCCCCATGGGTGAGAAAGAGTTTTCAGGGCCACCCTTACAGGAAAGCCTGGATCCGTGACTTGACCAGCATGGGGGTTCCTTCCTCAGACATCCCGGAAGGTTCATTCCTAGAGGACGAAGATGAAGACCCCATTCCACCCAGTATCACCACGACCATCGCCACCTCGGAGCAGAGCACAGGCTCCTGTGATACCAGCCCTGACACTGTCTCACCATCTCTCAGTCCTGGCTTTGAGGACCTGTCACATACTCGACCCGGTTCCCCTGCCATCAATGGCCACAGCCAGACAGACGACGAGGAAGAGACACATGGAGAATAGCCCCCCTTCCCGCCGTCCCAGAAAGGCTCAGGGCAGCATTGGTCCTCCTGGGGTCAGTCAGCTTTGCTGCTGCATTCTGTCATAGGCAGGGTCCCTAATTCCTGCCCCTCCTAAGAGCAGGACTTCCCCATGCCAGGACATGCACCCCAGCTGGGGCAGTGGAGCTGGCTACGGGTGTCCTTGAGCTCAGCCTGGGCCAGCTTCGAACAGTACTTCTAAAGCCCCGACCCCTGGAGGAAGAAGGTGCCTGCCTGCAGGGCTGAGCTTGTCTCGACTTGCTGGCAGCTGCTGACTTAACTCCAGTCTCCCTGCCCTCTGTGGAGTACTTTTTCCTGTCGTGTTGAATTCTGGGAGAGGTAGAAGGTTCAAGACAGGCAGCCTTGACTGTGGGGAGCTGTTTCTCACAGGTCCAGCAGGCGTCCCCAGGAGCTGAATGGAATATTTTTGTATCGATGTTTACAGATGTTGTTGGGAAGTTACCAGTAAAGACTTATTGAAAGGGAACACTGCTGCCCTGGCTTGCGTCTGTTTTGGGCCTCACACCCCAGAGCATGGGCAGATTCTGGTGTCACCAGGGGGCCGCCCAAACACCCAACCCTGTGAACTACCAAAACAGGGCTGTGCCACAAGCACACACACACACACACACACACACACACACACCCGTGAGGTCGGAGGGCAAGCTGGGGCCAAGCCTTTCTGAGACCACCTCTGAGACATCACTGTCCCTGGCTAGGACAGCTGCTGGCCTGGCGGCCTCTGGAAAGCTGGTTCCGATGGGTGGCTGCTTCGACATTGCGAGTAGCATTGCAGACCCCGCCACGTGCCATGTGGTTCTTTGTTTTTCCAGACAGGGTTTCTCTGTGTCCTGGCTGTCCTGGATCTCACTCTGTAGCCCAGGCTGGCCTTGAACTCACAGGGATCCTCCTGCCTCTGCCTCCCAAGTGCTGGGATTAAAGGCGTGCGCCACCACCGCCCAGCTCCCTGGAGCACATTTAAATGATAGTCTTCCAGGACATAATACCCTGGTTGCAGAGCCCCTGACAAGCAGGCACCAGGTCCCTGCTAGGGGCAGCTCCCTCACTGAAGACACCATCAGTGAAAGCAGAAAACGCCAGGCTGGCGGCCCTGAACTGCAGTTGGTTCCAGCGCCCTCTTCTGGCCCCTGCAGACACTGCATGCACACGGGGTGCACTTACTAGTAGGAAAAACAAATTACCATAGATACTTCTGAGTCATTAAAATTATCTTCCCGCCGGGCGGTGGGGGCGCACACCTTTAATCCCAACACTTACAGGATCTCTGTGAATTCGAGGCCAGGCTGGTCTAC